CGGGTGGAATTTCGTGAAGGTTAGATGAAAATTGATTCGGTACGCAAATGAATGAAAGAAACCAGATACTCGACGAGAAGATATGTCCTTGTCAGTATTTATCCTAAATGCATTTCTCGGGGGTTAGCGTAGCAAGCGAACTGAGAATCACTGACTCGCTGGTTATATTCTATTAAAGTGGAGCATGATGAACAAAGCGTTTAAATTACCTAAGATCAAAGGAAATCGACTTTTATCTCCCTTGGTCTGACTATCTATCTCTTATCTGGAAACTACTACAAATGAAATACCTGCCCATTTGCTTATTCTCTTCTTCACATTGTGTCATTAAATGGTAATCTTCGAAAGTGGATTGGAGGCTACGCGTGCGGAATGGGAGAATCCTTCAGAAACTCAGAGTTATCCAAACCTATCACATTGTCAGAACGTGACAGCTACTCTTCGTTCTTGAAGGCCAGCAGAGCATTATCGATCCAAATGTTGGATTTAAGCTATTTAATTCGGGCATCTCATACTAGAATGCACCTTTGCTCTAGCTTGTCCAGAGCAGACAAGTATGCCTGGTGTTATATTAAAATTGCAGACTGTTGTTCTTCGTTTATCCACCGGAGCCGCATTATGCGAGCATTGCTGCAATTGAAACTGCGGTCTTGTTCTATGATTTGGTCCCAAACCAACTTAGATCAAAGAACATAAAATTGATGATAGGTGTGGGGATCAGTCAGCACTTATGTGCTTCATTATGTGAATATGCAACTTGATGCGCGTCATAAAGTTGCAGGGGAATTAAGAAGCCCGAAGAGTAACAGAGTACGATATTTGTACAATCCATTCAAGGGTTCTTTTAAAACGAAAAGAACACAAAGCTTGTAACACAAACACAAACAGGAACATGGTGATCTATGTCAGTGCGAAATCATGCAGACAGACAGAGTACCATGTGCATCGATTTTATTCCAGTACGAGAGAGAAGGTGATATTTGAGATCAAGTTCACCAATGAATAGATCTCTGTATCGGTGACGGTATTCAACACCCAATGACAGAGTTGAAAGATCGTTACGTCCTGTAGTGTGAAGAAGCAACCAACAGCAGGGATGATCCGTTATATGGGACTCACATCCAGGGTTCGAGCCGTTGCTAACTCGAGACAGTTATGTGCTCTGGCTCCTGGCAAGTTAGATGAAGCGGATACACAGCGCGTACATGTCATTTTAGTGATGTGTGTGATACACACTGAAATTGGGTGGTGAGCCTATATCTACGCATTCCATTTTCTACTGGTCAAATGAAGATATGATAATGCTTATATACACTCTGATAGCTTATGATTGGATTGCGTGGCAGTGATGCTTCGGTCATACTTTCTCACTATGACAATTCAAGTAGCCACAATGGAAAGACAGAATCCAATCGAAATATCGGTTTGAAATTGCCAGGTAGAACCCGATGGAGATCGATGAGAGAAAAATAACTAGGTGTGATTTTGTGAGGTGATGGAAGGGGCGCGGGGTTCGGGGTTCGGAGGGGGGAGCTTAAGGTGTTTATCTAAATGGAAACGGGGAAAAGTTTACGGACTAGAAGACCGGTCAACTTTTTGTCCGGACGTCCAAAGGAATCGTATGGGTTTAAGATGAAGTGCGACAGTAGCATGGCATCTTTCTTACCAAAACGTGCTCAAATCGACGAGTAAAACCTAGCGTGAAGTAGGGAAGAGACACCCATTTACATACAAATCAAACACTGATCGAACAAGTAGTCGAAAACTGGTTACCAGCATAAGAAAGACCATAAGAAAAACCGCAAAATTTGGAGTAAATAGTGAATGTATTGTGGAATACTGTGAAATGCCGGCGATACCGAAAATAAATTTGACGTGCAAACAATTGCATTCACTCGATAAAGCAATCAGGCCAATTATGTGACGAAAGTTTTGCAAGCACCAGCTGCACTCTAATGTTCGATGTTAAGCTGTTCACCGAGCTTGTTAGTTCGACTGCAAACCGTTCACCTCTAGTCGAGGAGAAATTACCAATGATGTTTTTTAGCCAGATAAACAGTTCAATTCTTCGTCACTAGCATGCTCTCAGTGGTAAGGTCCGTGGTTCAACTCCTGTAACTGTCGCCCCACTTAGTTTACAAACAGCTTCACCTATTTTATTGTGGCTCTTTTTAGTTCGCCACTCCACAATCGTTGTTTCCCTTGGCTAGACAGTATAGCCCCCTGATCAGTGGGTTCATAACTTTACAGACTGATCGAAACACTACGGTGTATAATGAAACAGCTGAATAATTGACCCTATATTCACAGAGTTATCAAACTAATTCTTATCGGATATCACACGTCTTTGCTCGATAGCTTTAATGAACCATTCAACGTTTTTGGATTTCTCAAGCGGAGATAACAGTATTTGTTTATTTTTGACATAGTCGATTTGATTGATAGATTAGAACCCACTGTTTGTTCATATCACACTTGGGAGTTGGTATCCGAGACACTTATCGATTCACACCAATTCGGTTGTCTTTCGAAACCTTACATGACCTTACGGCTGTCCAAAGGTGCGATTCTGAAAGGAGTCCCGCTGTGACTCATGCACGTATGTGTTTCTTGTATTCCGCACGCATAATGTAATGCAACAGGAACAACATGATAGTCCGATCATTTTTGAAAAACAATAACAAAACTAACCGTTGAAACCACAGTCACAACAATAATAACAAAAACAGACCTCAGCAAAAAATGGACGGAAGTGTCGACTAAATAATAAATACACATATCCATTGTCCCTTTTACAAGGAACTCAAAGATTTGGGGAAATGTATTTATTCTAATCTAACTGGTCCTATAGAACGTGAGGCATTTTCCAAACGAAAAATGGTGACTGAAATGACCTTAGTTCGACGCTAACACGTCCAGCTTCGCACAGATAGGATCGTGGGTCCCTCTCCCTTTCCCTCGAGTCTGTGTGTGTGTTATGACCAGTCAGGGCATAAACAGCATCACAGGGCTTTTGAAAGTGTGATGAGAAGCGGATTCTGTGGGATCCGTCATTCATTGATTGATCTTTCAGTCTAAGCAAGAGAGAAAAACGCACGCTGTTTTCTTTTGAATGAACATTGGATTTCTTATACTTTGATGCGAATCGTACATGAATAAAAAGTTACTAATCAGACTATTTCGGTCTGATTAGTCTCTGACACGTAGGAGTTTTATTCGTATCGTCACTCGGTATGCGGGAAATATGAGCAGCTGAAATTTGTCTCAAATTAATCTATTCCTTTGGTGATGGCATATGGCCAGTTGGATGGGCTTTAACTGCTACTACTCTTTCTCTATCTTTCTCTCCGTGTAGATATATGTATCTTTTGCACGTCACCGAAGTGATAATGATTGAGTCGGCTAGTAGGATTTAGTTAAGTTTGTCAACACAATTCAACATCAAAATCGATGTTAGTATGTGCACATAGTCCCACTTAGTTCGAATCAAAAGCCGATTCGCACTAGAGCGGATATCTACAGACTCGAGTAATGTGACTCACAGGGTTCGGCCGAATGAGTGGTTCAGGGTGGGTGGGCGTATTGGGGAGCATCAAATGAGATGAGTCAGGCCTGTAGGAGTGCGAGAGGGCTAATACTCACAGCTCGATTTAACTAATGAGATTGTACTCGGATTTTAGGATTTGTGTGTGTGTATGAATTCGATAGAGAAAAATCCCAACCTCGCTTCGGTCAATAAAAATGCAGCGTAAAAAGCGGTCACTATGACAACCATTTTGTGTCAAAAAATCAAAATAATTTGTCACGAAAAAAGGACACTCATTCGCAGGAATAACCCGGGAGGATTTTCAAAGCCATGGGCATCGATTCCACGGATAATCTGGCGTATGAACACATAAATGGAATGCTGTTTCTACAAGATGAATTTCACCACCCTCGGAACATCATTTATAAATCATAGTTGAAACACTAATCAAACCCATCCCGTGTCAAGCAGGCAAAACATTTAAGTTGTTGTAGAGGAGAATTACCTCATGTGAAAGAATTGAACGGAATGCCAAGAAAAATGATGATTTTAAATACAGATTGTAGCATAATGAGCAGCTCAAGGGGTTAACCCATGGTAATGAAGACCTACTGTTTACGCAAGGTAATCGGTAATGTACACTCGGGGTCTTTTATGGATGAGCGATGCGTTGTTCAACTAGGATATGCATGGTATCGACCCGGACGAAAACGAAGCTGCCTACTACTAAAGTTAAATGACAGTAGCAGGATATGAAGTTTCTGGTCCGAAGCACGCGGTTTACGGCGAAATGGACCGCTTGAGCATCAGCAACATGACGGTGACGATTCTACCGGTGATAATAATTACTTGAAGAATACTGACGATGATGTTGAGAGCGGAGGAAACACTGGTAAACGTACATTTTTCCATTACACAGCATTGTGTGATGAACAGTAGACGGAACGGAACCCATAGTCACGAAGACCTGCTGTTCAATGATCCTAACCGGTAACCTAAGCCCATGGACTTGGAGTGGCGAAGCACATAAGGCCCTGCTAGG